AATTCCAAAAAACCCCACCTAACTAACCCTTACCTACTGTATTCTGCGGCGCATAATAAAACAACATAAAATCCCCTTTTCCCGCAGCGCGTTCTTTTACTTGAAAAATTTACTCATCCAAAGTTCCCATTCCCGCTTTATTTACGTCACACAATATCAGTAGTTTACGTTATGAACATAAATACGTACACACAGACATTCCAATTCATTCATTGAAAGAAGTCTAAAGATATGAAAAATTATTGGGAAAACCCCAATGCTCTCTTTCAAAGCTACTGGTGGGTGCTATCGCTTTGTTCTCACTATTTCCGTTTTTTTGTTTTCTTTTAATTGTTTTGCATAATTTTGTTTGTTATGACTATTTATTTTATTTTTTTGTGATTCCCTGAAACAGTTCCATAATAATTAAAATTTTTTGCGGGTACCATCTTTTATGGGCCGTGTAAAAATGGGAAACTACAAACATTTATCACTATGAGTTCTTAACAAAATATATATGTTGTTCTTTGTCCGTTTTTAAACCCTCCACCATAGTATGGAGGGTATATTAATTTTGACATTCTGTTTGTAACTCATCGAAATATTCATTTCCGACCCTATAAAGTATATATATTCTTGATCAGGGTAACATTCTAAAACGATCTAGCCATGTCCCTCAGTCTGTTGTAATCACGCTATCTTCTGAAGGAATTGAGATAGTATGTTGAAATTTTGCATAGGCTTGTCTGCAGGCAAGTCAAGTTCGAAGATGGGATATATCTGTCCACGTTTAGGCATGACTCCCATATAACGGTACCCTCAATTTTACTATGTCTCCACAAAAAATTGTGAATATAGGTCCACTTTTTCTGGTAGCCCACATATAACGGTACATCCTATTTTTCTGTATTTTGGGGGTTTTGATCTTATTTTTCCGACGAATTGGCTATAATTTAGTATTTTGAGTTCTTATTAAAATTATAAATATGGGTCCATTTTTTCTGATAGCCATCATATAAGGGTATCCCCAATTTTTGGTATTTTGGGGGCTTGGATCGAATTCGCCGAAATTTGGTACCATGGTAACAAATAAAATGGACCCATTAAGTTATGGTTCACAATACAACGATCAAAAACACATATTATTCAACAAAAATAATTAATTTATTCTTTATGGTTTCGTCGAATTCTGCACTTTCAAAATTACTGGTGTTGTATAACTATTGACGCTCATTTACAAAATTAGAAAAATTTATTTTTTAAAACTTAAATAAAATAAAATAACTTTTATAAATAATGGGTAGGGCCTCCCTTATTTTGAATAAGTTCAAAAATTTTATCTATCACACTGTTGATCAAAAATATTCGCAAGTCTTCATCGATTGACCGCCATTCATCGATAATCACTTCTTGGAGGTAAAATACAGTTTGGTATTGGCGGTTTTCTGCACGATGAGTTAAGATTCCACACATGTTCTCGTTCGGATTCTGATCGGAAATTTTAATATTTTTCGATTTTAACCATACTTGAGTATGGCGACTTTTATGAACTGGTGCGTTGTCCTGCTAAAAACGAGTCCTTCATTGTTGTTGCTTTCCCAAAATGACAATAATTTGTCTTCCAAGACTTGAACGTACTCCATTGAATTCATCCGACAACATGGAAATGTCAAAAAAAGCATTCCATGGCTATAAAATGCTCCCAAGACCATTAAGGAACGCCACCGAAATATCTTTTTTAGAAATATCGTGATTCAGTTCGTAGATCTCTCCAATAACAACTAAAACCATCTGGGGCATCAAGATTGAATTTATTCTCGTCCGAAAAAATCAACTAAGAAAACATATCGAAGAGATCTACGGACGGAATCACGATATTTCGTAAAACGATATTTTCATTTCAAGTATCTGTCTGTCAGTATCCAAAGTTCGGCCCGGCCGACTTATCACTTTTTTCATTTGTTTATATTAAAATAGTTATCTAATTTGTTCCGCGTTTTGGGTTTGGTTCTAAGACTCTGTTGTAATCGAGCTAAAAAACTAGAACGTAAGGTTCGATAATGAACTATAACCCGCATTTAGGCCTATTCCCTGTGTGGGATTTGCCTGAAGGAGTGGACCGATATTCCCCATCTTCGAACTTGAACTAAGTTTGGAAGAAATAATAAGATGGGCAAGATCTTATTGAAATCAAAATTTTCTGAAACAAATTTGGTCCAAAGAAACATGGGGTCTAGAACTAATATTTCGAAGAGGCACATTTTCACCGTGTCAAAGTGTATACACCCTCATTAGCCATAAGGCTGAGGTTATAATTATCCATTAAAAATTTCTGAAATTTGTATTATGGTTTACATAATCGGTTTGTAGAAATATCGGTATAGGTCCACTTTTTCGTATTTTCCCTATATTTGCATTTCAAGTACCTGTCAGTATATCTATGGTGGAGGGTATCCAAAGTTCGGCCCGGCCGAACTTAACGCTTTTTCACTTATTGATTTTAAAATAAAGTTCCAAAGCAAATGTTCGAAACTCATAATAAATCCGTAGGGACAAATCTTGTATTCCTTACACAAGAAAGAAGGCAATAAATCTTCAATATGAGCAGAAAACAAATTTGTACTGCTGATGTAATACTACAGGACGTTTCTGCGACAAATTGTTTTGGATAAAATGACAAATAGGTGGTTACGGCATAATGACTAACCAATGACCCAGCATATATAAGTGTATGTCTAATTGAAATTCAAAACCCTCAAAACATACATATACAAATTATATTTGTTTTATCGATACATACAACAAAATCGAATTCAAATAGTTTGCAATAAAAAGTTCAAAACCACGACTGTGATAAACTTAGTATATAGTGGAACTACGACCATCGTCTTCATAAAAGAAGACGATTTTAACGAATCAAGAATGTCCCTACAAATTTTCAAGTGAAAATCTCAAGAACTCTTGAAGATGTAGCCGATTTATTGTGTCAGCATCAAGTGACGGCAATAGTGATTCTCAAACTTTAATCGAATTTCTCTCGAAGAAGTGTTTTTACGAATGTCGGGCACGATAACTCAAAAACTAATAATCCAATCGGTTCCAAATTTTGACACGTTTCTCTGGGAGTGTATAGCTATCGTATGAAATAGGATAAAACCAATCGGTGAATAATTTCTTTATTTTTTAAATTAGTTTGTGGTCAAAAATAGCCGAATTTTAGACCGTTAGTTTTGATCAATATGATTTACTTTATTATGTACTACTTACGACTCAGCGAAAAATTACAAAAGTAATAAAAATATTTGTATTTAGAACGTATTCTCTCGTAAAAATTAATTTGAAACCGAAATCAAACATTTGTTTTGCGGTTTGTTTATTACAGCAAAAACAATATAATAAATCGAGAAAAGTTATAATTATTTGAAGGTAAAGTAATAGAAGTTGGTAGAGTATAGAATTGTTGATTAATTTAGTCATGTCTAGGTTTTAAGAAAGCTAAAGATCATTTTGGAGTATATTCTGGAGAAGAATGCTAGAGTATAAATTTCATATTTGCCAAACAATCGTTGTCCTCTGCTACTTAGCGAGGGACGTATACAGAGTATATGTTTCAATTGTTTCCAGCTCATCCTCACATAAACGGCAATAATCCACTTCATTAATGTCCCATTTGGAAGTGAGTGATTTAATTCTGCAGTAAGCTGTTATGATCTCCACAGTGATTCAGATCTCTCTTACTTTGAAACAGCAGCGAATTAGTCCTACGACGTGAGAACTCAGGCCAGATAGTTTTTGAAGTTCTGCACCTATCCATCTGATGCTTTGGGTCGTACGGATCCCTAAATCGGTAGATGGGCTAACTGCGGACACACTCGAGCAAGCTCGTAAGCTATTTCATTCCCATCTTTGTCACTATGTCATTGAACCAAACAAAAAAAAAATAAACTTCAACCCTTCATATAAGACGAATATATGAAAACCAAATGGGTTTATTTTCAAAATTGGAACACCATATCGCCGTATGAAGTTATCCCCAAATAAATTAATGTGGTTTGAATCAATATCCAATGGATACTGATGTGGTTAATAAACTTAAACGGTTCGCAGTGGTAATCTTAACGATATATATTTAATAAAAAGTAGAACTCCTTATCAGGGGAAGTATTGAATTCCCCCAAAAAAACTTTGTCTTTGTTGTCTAATCTCAATGAGAATGGCTACATTTAATGCATTTATGCTAAATATTAACCGATACGATCCATTTAAAATTTGTGGTCCTGATTAAGAACAAATTTTGCTACCTAATAAGATTACCTACCGAAGTTCTTTTTATTATCCTTTTGAAACATTTCAAAAAGAATAAGCAATTGAAACTATTGTTATGCTGATTACAATTGAATTTTGGGGTCCTATAACGATGTACGATATAGATTTCAAAACGATCCGCAATTCGAAATAAATTCTATTATCGGTTGGACACTTTCATTTTTGTATGATAATACAACAATACAGCTATTAGTTATTTGCACTTTTTAAAATAAATGTTAATTTGATTCCTTCATTCGCCAATGAATCCCCTCAATTTCGCTTGTTATAAATAGCTGGCAACACGATGATGTCAAACAGTAGTAGAAAGCGTCAGCTACCAACAACCAATGAAGTAATTGGCTCAAACAAGACCTTATGTATTGATATATTGATGTTTTTATTGTAATTATACCAAATTGATTGCATTTTCATAAAATTTTCGGCATTCCGTATATAAACCGGACCATTCATCATCAACAATATGTACTGTCAAAAAGGAAAACTGAAAAGATTTAGCAAAAATTACGTAAGAGAATTTTGTTTGAAAAAATCGAACTTTGCAACATCTACGACACTGTGACACAAACATGAAATCAATGTATATATAGAATTTTTTTTTCTTAATTATTCGCCAAATTTGTCCAATTCCACACAATATCCAAGTAATTAATCAAGGCACTTGCTTAGCATTTTTCTAAATATTTATTTCGCAATTTTTCGTTTACATATTAAGATCTTTTTCACATGTTCTGTATGAGACACCAGCACCGAAACCAGTACCCATTATAAGGGGCCATGCTTTCCTCTTGAATATGAGCAGCGACAGCACCGAACCAATGGCCAAACCGCTGACACTTTTTATACCCATATCGGTAATGCAGCGATCGATTTTCTTTCCAAATTCATCTTCAGATTTGCTGACTTGTGGCATCTTGTTGGGATCCGGTGTTTTTTATTTGTTTGTTATTTGAGAAAAATGCAAAAAACAATCTATCGTACGCCGTTTCGCACTTCTTTTGATT